CTCCCCCGCTGGTACCGATCTGGAAGTAGGAGTAGGCGGCCAAGGGCTCGTTGACCAATCGGTCGCGTCGGGGGTTGCGGGGCTTCAGGTGCATGATGTCGCTCTCCGCCCGCTCGTAGGCCAAGGAGACCGAGGGGAACTGGGGGACACAGGGGGGCGGGTGAGGGACCCCCACGTCCGGGAGGGACCCCCAGCACCCAGGAAGGACCCCAACATCCCAGTGAGGGACCTCAAAGTCTGGGTGAAGAACCTCAACCTCCAGATGAAGAACACCGGTTCCTGGTTGAGGAACCTCAACGACCAGTTGATGGACTGGTGGATGGACCCAGGTGTCCAGGAGGGACCCCAGCACCCAGGAAGGACCCCAACATCCCAGTGAGGGACCCCAAAGTCTGGGTGAGGGACCCCAAAATCTGGGTGAAGAACCTCAACCTCCATATGAAGAACCCCGGTTCCTGGGTGAGGAACCTCAACGACCAGTTGACGGACTGGTGGATGGTCCAGTTTAAGTGTGGGGGGACCCAGGCATCCGGGAAGGACCCCAGCACCCAGGAAGGACCCCAACATCCCAGTGAGGGACCCCAAAGTCTGGGTGAAGAACCTCAACCTCCATATGAAGAATCCCGGTTCCTGGTTGAGGAACCTCAACGACCAGTTGATGGGCTGGTGGATGGTCCAGTTTGAGTGTGGGGGGACCCAGGTGTCCAGGTGAGGGACCCCAGCACCCAGGTGAGACACCAGCACCCAGGAAGGACCCCAACATCCCAGTGAGGGACCCCAAAGTCTGGGTGAGGGACCCCAAAGTCTGGGTGAAGAACCTCAACCTCCAGATGAAGAACACCGGTTCCTGGTTGAGGAACCTCAACGACCAGTTGATGGACTGGTGGATGGACCCAGGTGTCCAGGAGGGACCCCAGCACCCAGGAAGGACCCCAACATCCCAGGGAGGGACCCCCAGCACCCAGGAAGGACCCCAACGTCCAGGGGAGGGACCCCAAAGTCTGGGTGAGGGACCCCAAAGTCTGGGTGAAGAACCTCAACCTCCAGATGAAGAACACCGGTTCCTGGTTGAGGAACCTCAACGACCAGTTGATGGACTGGTGGATGGACCCAGGTGTCCAGGAGGGACCCCAGCACCCAGGAAGGCCCCTGGCACCCAGATGCCTGGATGAAGAACCCCAACCTCCATAGGAGGAGCCCCATGGTGGCCGGGTGGCCACGGACCCGGGCCCCCACCATCCGAGTCCCCTCCTCCTTTGGAGACCCAGAAGTTCCTCCACCCCCCTCCTTGGCCACGCCCCCATTCCCCCCCAACCAGTTGATGGACCGATGGATGGACCAGTTTGAGTGTGGGGGGACCCAGGTGTCTGGATGAGGGACCCTCACGTCTGGGAGGGACCCCCAGCACCCAGGAAGGACCCCAACATCCCAGTGAGGCACCCAGATGCCTGGGTGAGGGACCCCAAAGTCTGGGTGAAGAACCTCAACCTCCAGATGAAGAACCCCGGTTCCTGGGTGAGGAACCTCAACGACCAGTTGACGGACTGGTGGATGGTCCAGTTTAAGTGTGGGGGGACCCAGGCATCCGGGAAGGACCCCAGCACCGACCCCAGCACCCAGGAAGGCCCCTGGCACCCAGATGCCTGGATGAAGAACCCCAACCTCCATAGGAGGAGCCCCACTTCCTGGTTGAGGAACCTCAACAACCGGTTGAGGAACGTCAATGAGCAGTTGAGGAACCTCAACCCCCAGTTGACGGACCGGTTGATGGACCAGTCTGGGTGTTGGGGGGTGGGACACGCGGGCGTCCGGACACTCACGATGTCGGTGCAGAGCTCGATGAAGAGGATGGTGATGCAGCCCAAGGGCAGGGGGACGCTGGCCGTGATGTAGATGAGGTAAGGGGTCAACTCGGGGATGTTCTTGGTCAAGGTGTAGGCGATGGACTTCTTCAGGTTGTCGAAGATCAGGCGGCCTGGAGAAGGTGGGGAGGGTGGGGGTGATGATGATGTCACCTGGTGTCACCCCCCCCACCTTCTCCGTGTCCCCCCACCTTGCTCCACGCCGGTGACGATGGAGGCGAAGTTGTCGTCGAGGAGGATCATGTCGGCCGCGTTCTTGGCGGCGTCGGAGCCGGCGATGCCCATGGCCACCCCGATGTCGGCCTTCTTCAGCGCCGGGGAGTCGTTCACCCCGTCCCCGGTCACCGCCACGATGGCACCCTGGGGGGGAGGGGGTGGGGACCATCATCATCATCATCGTGGTGGGGACATCACCATCCCCATCGTGGTGGCACCTTGAGAACATCCTCATCGTGGTGGCACCTCAGGGACATCACCATCCCCATCGTGGTGGCACCTCAGGGACATCACTATCGTGGTGGCACCTTGGGGACATCCCCATCGCCATCATGGTGGCACCTTGGGAACATCACTATCATGGTGGCACCTTGGGGACATCACCATCCCCATCGTGGTGGCACCTCAGGGACATCCCCGTCATGGTGGCACCTTGGGGACATCACCATCACCATTGTGGTGGCACCTCGGGGACATCCCCATCCCCATCGTGGTGGCACCTCGGGGACATCCCCATCCCCATATTGGTGGCACCTTGAGGACATGGGGACTGGAGGGATGAAGATGAGGACCATCCCCATCATGGTGGCATCTTGGGGACATCCTCATCCCCATCGTGGTGGCACCTTGGTGACACGGGGACTGGAGGGATGAAGATGAGGACCATCCCCATCATGGTGGCATCTTGGGGACATCCTCATCCCCATCGTGGTGGCACCTTGGTGACACGGGGACTGGAGGGATGAAGATGAGGACCATCCCCATCATGGTGGCATCTTGGGGACATCCTCATCCCCATCGTGGTGGCACCTTGGTGACACGGGGACTGGAGGGATGAAGATGAGGACCATCCCCATCATGGTGGCATCTTGGGGACATCCTCATCCCCATCGTGGTGGCACCTTGGTGACACGGGGACTGGAGGGATGAAGATGAGGACCATCCCCATCATGGTGGCATCTTGGGGACATCCCCATCCTCATCGTGGAGGCACCTTGGGGACATGAGGACTGGAAGGATGAAGATGAAGGCCATCCCCATCATGGTGGCACCTTGGGGACATGGGGACTGGAGGGGTGAAGATGGCGACCATCCCCATCATGGTGGCATCTTGGGGACATCCTCATCCCCATCGTGGTGGCACCTCGGGGACATGGGGACTGGAGGGATGAAGATGAGGGCCATCCCCATCATGGTGGGGACATCCCCATCCCCATCGTGGTGGCACCTTGGGAACGTCCCTATCCCCATTGTGGTGGCACCTCGGGGACACGGGGACTGGAGGGGTGAAGTTGGGGACCATCCCCATCGTGGTGGCACCTCGGGGACATCCCCATCCCCATCGTGGTGGCACCTTGAGGACAGGGGGACTGGAGGGGTGAAGTTGGGGACCATCCCCATCATTGTGGCATCTTGGGGACATCCCTACTGTGGTGGCACCTTGGGGACATCCCCATCGTGGTGGCACCTTGGGGACATCCCTATCCCCACCGTGGTGGCACCTTGGGGACACAGGGACTGGAAGGGTGAGGTTGGGGACCATCCCCATCATGGTGGCACCTTGGGGACATCCCCATCCCCATCGTGGTGGCACCGTGGGGACACGGGGACTGGAGGGATGAAGATGAAGACCATCACCATCGTGGTGGAGACATCCCCATCGTGGTGGCACCTTGGGGACACGGGGACTGGAAGGGTGAGGTTGGGGACCATCCCCATCGTGGTGGCACCTTGGGGACACGGGGACAGGAAGGATGAAGATGAGGACCATCACCATTGTGGTGGAGACATCCCCATCCCCATCGTGGTGGCACCGTGGGGACACGGGGACTGGAGGGATGAAGATGAAGACCATCACCATCGTGGTGGAGACATCCCCATCGTGGTGGCACCTTGGGGACACGGGGACTGGAAGGGTGAGGTTGGGGACCATCCCCATCGTGGTGGCACCTTGGGGACACGGGGACAGGAAGGATGAAGATGAGGACCATCACCATTGTGGTGGAGACATCCCCATCCCCATCATGGTGGCACCTCAGGGACATGGGGACTGGAGGGATGAAGATGAAGACCATCCCCATCGTGGTGGAGACATCCCCATCCCCATCGTGGTGGCACCT